ATTTGCCTTCATCTTCTCTCTTCTGTCTTTTTATGCTTGAAGTACTGACACTGTCCTTACTCTGTTTCCTTTTTTGTTTCATCCAAGCTGTATGCGTATGGACCTGTTTGCAAATGTATGCCTCTGACCCAAAAGTTTCCATGATTTCTTTGTGACATTTTAGTGACCTTTTGAACTAATAGTGTCCATGTTGCTACAGTCTTTTTTTTATTCACTTTTCCTTTGTGTGTAAAAAAGTGAGCTGAATTTGCTTTTCGTCTATTCTGTTTTATTCTCTTTGAAGAGAGACGGATGAAAAGGAGGATGGGGGAGGGTAGTTAATACTTTCCATAAAGCTACTCCAGGCAATATAAATTGGAGGCTGGCAGCGTCTCTGCACACGTAACTGTACTACGCTGTCTGATCGAGTGTCAAAATATGTTGTCTTTTACATCAACCACTTCACCAGTCAGTTGAAAATAACATCTTATTCTGCTGGTAATTTAAATTCATTGTATTGGAATGTACCTTGAAAAAAAAAAAAAAAAACAATATATGTCAAACTCACGTGCAGCATTGTTCGTTTGAACTGAACACCCAATATGGTGTTACTGTCCCTTCGGGTGTTAGCAGTATACCGTGTCCATGGTATATTGTCGTATGAAAATTGATAGTTGTATTGAATTCTACTGCATTAGTGTATATAACATAATACTTTATGAAATTGTAATGAATAATTTGTTCAACCAAAAAGAAACCCTTCTGTTTTCATTCCTTTAATTATTGTATTATTGTACTGTGACAATCTCAAACTGTTGCAGCCCTATATCTTTGTGATAGCAGATATGTTCAGCTAAAAAGATGCACAAAAACACAAAAGAAATCATAACATTTTATTAAAGCTCTTAAGAGTCCTCCCCATAATTGTCACGGTAATAGCTTAGGATTTCAGACACTGTAAAGGAAGAGAAACCTCATTCATCATCATTAATGCATTCAGTAATTTAGATTTGCCACCATACTGCTCATTAATACAGTCTAACAGTTAACATTTTAAGGTAGAGCTGCATTTGATTGTAAAATGAAATGTATGCACATTTGTGAGTATGCCCTATCTACAGTAGGTGATACACATATAGAAATCTGATTAGTGTGAACTTCAAATATTGTGAAACAGGATCGACCCCTATATTTATTAAGTGTGCATCCATTAGAAACTGTATGACCAGTGGTAATGTGTGACTTGAAATTCAGTCAATGCAAGAACATACTTGGACACAATTTAGTGCCAAGACTAGAAATTATTGTTGCTAGTGCTCCGTGTTGTGCATGTCATTTAATTGAGCTTTGGATCAATGCAACTAGGCCTAAAGGCTTCCTTTGGCATGTTTGTGTCATCAATTGAATTGAATGCACAATGTTCGAATTGCTCTTCATGTCTGGCTATATAATGAAATCGCTGCCTGGGGTTTGGGCTGAGTAACTCTGTTGCACATGATGACTCCAGCTGTGTCTTGAGTCTGGCTGAGCTCAGACCTTGAAACCCACTGAATTGAAATGTGAAATAATTCATGATAGAGGATGTAAAGTCTGGTCATAAATCCAACAGGGAAATGGTGAGGTACTACATAGGCTCACGGAAACAAGCCAGTGATTGAAAGGATTTTATTGCAAGAAACTCTGTAGCCTGCAGGGCGAAATTGAAAGCAAAAAACAACAACAAAAAACAAATGAAGAATCTAGTTGTAGTGATACAAATTAACTGAACTACTTTAGAGCTTGAGAATAGCTACCTGTACAACTTTAAAAAAGCAGGACATTCACTGTTTCCGGTATTTATGTAACAAGGACAGAAAGACAGTGAATAAGCATTGAAGTGAGTTGAGCCTTGTTGACAGTGTGCCCTTTTGTTCCTGGCGAGGACAGTTGCTAGATTGAATTGATCTGACTTTAGAGCCTAACCATTTATCTTGGTCAGTCATATCTGATCTGTGGCTGTCAAGTGGAGACAGACTCCTCTGAGAAATAAACTGCTTGGAGAGCAAGTGAAGGGTCTACTTTACCTCTCTACCATGGTGGCAGCATCTCCTTTACAAGTTATGTGTTTGTTCCTCTACAGGAATCCCAAGATTTTTCAGCATTAAAATGTTTAGAGCTGAAACAATTAATCAATTAATCGATTAGTCATTAGTCAGTTATTATAATAATAAATGAATCAAGAAAAAATACCAAACATTCTTATTTCTGAATATTTTAAGGTTTTATACTGTTGTTTAGCTCTTTGATGGCAATGTATTGGGGCTTTAAGGAGTTGTGATAAACATTTTTCACTTCTGACATCTTATAGAATAAACAATTAATCAATTAAAGGTTGGGTCAGTCATTCTGGAGAAAGACGGTTGATTAAGTCTCATTACCAGGTCATCCAATACCAACACTTTGGATTGGTGGCTTGAAGATAGTTGATTGTTGAGTCTCATTCTGTCACAATCTGAGAGCACAAACAACACCTGTTGTGTTATGTGGCTCACTCCAAGCCACTTTGTTTGCTTCCCATTTCCCATTATTTAAAGCATCTGTGTTTGATGACCTGGGAATGAGACACAATAATCAACAATCTTTCTCAAGAATGAGAAAGAACTCTGAAAGTAACCTCTCAGTTGTAGTCATATTGCAGTTATATCAACATAATATTTATAATTTAGTAAAGTAAGTATTTTTTACAATCAATTTAGCACAGACACAGTAATGTAATGTAGGTTACAAGATCAAATGCGAAAAATAAGTAGGTAAATGCTCCATTACTTTCCTCCAGCTGCAACAGGATTCTGTTGGTCCTGCAGCCATATTTACCTCTGAGATTTTCACTTTAGTTAACCTCTCTCCAAGGACCCCACTGGAAACAGACAACACAAATTAAAAATTCTATTGGCACAGTTGAAGCTTAGCAATGTCACTCCAAATTAGAAGGCTGTGAGCTGATCCTTTTGACCGTGTCTTCCGCTACCTGGGCCATTTCTAAGCCACAGATGATAATCCTCAGGGGACCCTCATTAAGTCTTTGCTCATTTTGCCGCAGCACAATTGCTCTGTACTACAGCGCACAAATCCTCCAACAGTGGATTAGGCTGATCAGTGGGTGGGATGAAAATAGCAGCCTCGGTAAATCAGTGGCATAGGTGAGCATTTCTTAGGTGTCAGCAGCCACTGTTCACATGTCCGGTGGTGTGCATCAAACAGTTTGAGTTCAAGGAAGCTATTTCAGATGTGAAATTATGCTAAATACCTAGTTACAGTACATATTTGCCATTTAAGTGGCTCAAATGTGGCTTAACAAGTGAGATCACTGAGCAAGCCAGTACTGCTGAACTTTGATCTAGTGAGTAAATTCCAGCTGGCATTAAGACTTTTGGGGCCTACATTTTCTAAATCTTTCACATTTCCTTACTGCTATGAATCCAGTTGCAGTATGGATGAGAGTGGCTAGATAGGTTTCTTTTGTTGTAATATGACATTCGTATGAATTGTAAACATTAAATAGGTCGGTCTGTAGTGATATTTACAAGTAATCTACATAATGGTAATTTCGTGTTTTGTTTTTTACTTTAAAACTTGTAAGTATTTCCTGATGTGACAGAGTGAAGGTCACGTACATGTGAGAGTTCAGTGACGTCAGTGCCAAAGCCCCAATCAGCACTACAATGTGCATTATGAAATACTTGTTCCTGCTTTGTCATGTATTTTGAGTTGCCTACTATTCCAGAGCTCTACCAGTCAAAGGAATGGATTTTATTGGTAAGCTTTCAAAATGCACTGAGCACATCAATTTGAACACGAAGGGTGCTAGCATAAGTTCTGACAGGCCACGTCATCAATAAAAGCACCCTGATGAGGTGATGGCCAGCGGATCTGACCACCAAATGTTTTAGCTGACAGCTGACTGTACGCTCACTGAAATACCTTCCAGCCATCATTTGATGGGTTGAAACGCAGCACAGTGCTACTTTCATTAGCTCATATCATTAGCTTCTTTGGATTCAGAATAATATGTTTTTACTTTCAATTGCCATTTTATTTTGGTTGATCACTAAAACATAACTTCCTTTAAAGTTGTTTTTTTTTTTCAATCTCTACCTAAGCGCATCAAATTATTATACACAAATGTGCACACAGTATCACTTCATTTTAACTGCCTTCACTTGTATATACACATTATAGTTTGTATGTATTTTTGGCATCCTAGGAGACGAGCAAGCGTACTTTTACGGATCATGAGTGCAGCCTGTTTGTAAGATATACAGAGTGACAAGAACAAGTAAACCAGTGTTCCACATATGGTGTGGATGCTTTGCAATCAGTTACCTGTTTAATTCTGGCTGCTTTACGGTCGACTGAACGTGCTGCTCTCTCCCACACAGTGAGCAATGCTGTCAACCCAGAAAACCACAGCAACAGCAAGCATGGGTGACTGCAGATACATTAAGCAGTACTAGTGGTTCTTTAAGGGAAGAAGCTAATGTTTGGTCAACAGCTACATGTGTTGCTATGCTTTTCTGTTAAATAAAGTGTCTTAAAAGGTCTTAAAAGTTGGTTGGCTTCAAGTGTGCTCATTGAGTTGCCTTTAAACTGTTGCTCATGTGCATTACAACAGTGAGTCAGTCAGTAATGGACATTCACTGTCCACGTCTGCACCACAAAGCTGAATGGCAAGAGCCCAGCAAATGCTTCTCATTTGTCTTCCCCAACTCAAATGATGGTGTAATGAGCCGTTCTCTGGCAGCTGTTTAAGCAGAAAAATGATCAAGTTGACCAGGCAGGGAGAAAGATGCTGTGCATATGTCATGTGGGTACTTTCTTGCCCACTATCCTGGTGTGGTTCAGCTATTGCTCTTCCTCGGACTGACATTTCTTCAAGGATGTTTATCCTGGATCGCTGGGCATTTGTGGTGGCGGAGTCGGTTAAAGTCGTGAGCTCACTCTCCATGTCCACTCTGATTTGTGTTTCTTTTGTTTTCTTTTAGACCCTGGAGTAAGTGACCTGTGAATAGAGTCACACTGGGGTAGGACTTCTTTACTGCTATAACTGCGTATGGACATCTGACATTGGGAAGCCCAGCAGGTATGTCAAAATGAATTCATATCTGCTTGTACATTTGGATAGTGTTGCCTTTTTACTTCAGATCTTAAGTCAGGTTTAGATTAAAGGGTCAGTTTTGAATATATAAAAAAAAACAAAACAAATATAGCAAACAGTATTTTGGTAAAAATCCACATCAACCATGGCATGCTGATCCCAGCATCAGGGGTGGAGCTAGAGGGATGGTCCGGGTAGCACTGGCCACCCCTGGAACCTTATTGGACACCCTGAGTGCCACCCCAGTTGATTGACAGGTCACTGCAAAACAGCAAGATTTTTTAACGCAACCAGAGAAGGCAGAATAAACTGATAACAATGAAGAGGAAGGGAGATATTTCCAACTTTTTTGCTAAAAAAAAACAGATCAGGCACAGATCAGGCACAGACAGACCCCAGCCCAGATATCAGCAACCCGGGCAGCTCCCAACATGAAATTAGCCAGGCAAGTCATTCATTAATTCTCATACCATGGGCGTCTATATTTGATCCTTGAGCTGAGTCTTGCGTCTAGTGTCCGTGATGTGCAGCCTTCTCTTTGTTTTGCGAAGACACCAACTTTTCCCACGGGTGTTTTTAATTTTCTGAATGAATGATGGAGCGCCGGTTTAATTGCTGCGCCAGAAACTGAAAGTACAACTTAGGCCCATGTCCTCCAGCCACTTTCCGTCCGTCATAAAGCTCTTTTTCCTGAGTTTAACCAGTGTCAGCGCCAGGATAGCTCAGTCGGTAGAGCTGGTGACCCATGTACGGAGTTGCTACAGTGGCCTGGGTTTCCTTTATTAGACCTAGTATATGCCCCCCCCCATAAAGTCTTGACCACCCTCTGGCCACCCCTTGTATAAAGGCTAGTTCCACCACTGCCTAGCATGCACACAAACAGTATTTCACATTATTTATATAGAACACTATTTAATGCATAAAGCATAGCATTTCCCTCCATATATAAAAAAAAAGTAGGAAGAAGGAATAGCCTTGTGGTAACGCAGAGGATCAGGGGACATGGGGGAGACTGACTGACCAACCACTCAGGTGGGTGGTAGTCCAATCTGACCAGCCATGAGAAGCTACTGACTCTGCTGAAAAGACAGGCAGTGTGGTGGAGCTTGTGACAGCACATTTGTGGGCCTTTGAGAGATTCTGTGTGGGTACCTTTGTAGTAGCTGGGCTAGTAGCTTTACTATGAGAGTCTCTCCAGTGTGTCTGTGGGGAAGCGGTGTTCCTGTGAGCAGAAAAGGCTGTGTTTTTACTAATATTAATATGAATTTTGTTGGACAAGTAATCTGTATTAACATCATATGCCCCCATGAATCTATGATTATGTGTACAGTGAAAACCTAACTATTTAGTGTGTTGTTCCTCCTAAATTACTTTAGTCTTGATTGACCCTGCAGTGGCGACTAACTGAATGTGGTGCGTCTCAAAGCAAAGTTTGGCTCTATTCTCAGAACTGTCACCTTTTTCAACCCACAGTTTGCATGCCTGATGTCACTGTGCCATCTGTTCCAGTGTTTAGGTCCCCTGACAGTGAAAGCCCAATTACCTCCAGTTTATAATATATCACAGACAATTAAAATGTTTGTTATTCTCAACTTGCAATTTTGTTTCAGCATGGCACAGCCTGAAATTTATCACAACACACGTGTGATAAATGGTTAAATAGAGATCTTAGTAACTATGCAATTAGTATGGCGAACAATGATACATGTCAGATGTGTCCTCCATGTCCTGATTTCTGGGGCTAAGGACAAAATTGGGATTTTTCTGTTTTGGGAAATGACTAACATAGATTGACTTTCTTATCTCTCTAATCAAATAGCCTTACTAACCACAGTGTGAAAATCTACTGCTGTCACATTTAAAGAACAGCCACAATAAATCAAGTTAGCCCATGATATTTTGCCAACGTAGACATCTGCTTTGGTCATGGAGGTTTGACATGACAGATAGCACAGTACAAGTCATAAGAGGATCATGACCGATTGTGTTAAGCAATTGAATAGTGAATCAAATTACTTTAACTCACATGACTGAAGATGAAGGGGATTTAGGAATTCAACCTCCCTAATAAGCATTTTGTGAAGTAGCTTTTAGCAAACAGGTACCTGCTTTTTGAAAACAAGGTTGGTCACTGTTGGCGAAGATACTGTACAGCTCAAAACAGGAAATAGGAGGGAAGCAAGTCCAGAATGGTGAGATATTTCCTGCTTCATCGGCAGGTCAATCTCGTTGAACCTTATACTTATTTTGTCGAGAAAAAATAGCTGGAAAATAGTTAAGTGAATCACCAGCCTCTACGTCACTTGCAAACGTTTGGAGGCATCAAAGTGACATTTTCTTCCCAAAGGGCAGAAATGACACAGAATGACTTGGAGGGTGTCAGCCGCATCTCGCCAACATGCTTAAAGCCCAGCCTCAAATGCCAGAGCTGCATGTTTCTGGTATGACCTAATGGGTCTGGTAAAGTTTTCAACTCTTTGCCTTTCATGTCACTTTTTCAATAAAAGCACCCAGGCAAGATGTGGCAAGAAAAACTGTGACCGGTTTGGAAATGAATGTGATCATGTCGGGGAAGGGACTGTGCTGAACGACGTGTGGAAAGAAAATGTATCTCTCTGAACTCCCTTTCTGCCGTGAGGCATAACACAATTAGACTTTAGATTGTTTTTTCCTCTCCCTCTGCCCATCTGATTTCTGCTCTTGCCAGGCTATTCTCTTTCATCTGCTTTATTCCTCTGTATTGTCATAATGTAGCAAACCCTGAGTGCTCTCACAGATCACTGGTACAGCTTATCAGTGAAGTGGTGCCGCTTCAAATTGGGTCCTTTAATTTAGTCTCTCTACATTCATTCTCAGGATTAGACTTTCAGGGGAAAAGGCTGTAGTGGTGGAGAGGATAGATAAACATACTTTAGGTAGAACAATCTAGAGTAGTACATGGAAATCTCATGTAGAGTTTAGGAACTGAGAGAAGAAGGGAAAGTTTGTTTGCAATTCTGATTGTTGAAGCAGGTCTTTGCTTTTGGAAACTGTCTTTATCAATCCTTAACAGTGTTGGGGAGGTAAGTGCTGCAATAATTTCAACCCATCCAGGAAATATTTGTACTACTTTGTTGAAGCTCATTTAATATACAGTATTTGCTGCTCAGTAAAACTAAACTAAATTAAACCCAAAAACTAATAATAACAGGAGCATTACATTGCAGTTGTAATTAACCTATAATATTTAAATGAGATTTACATGAATGAAACAAACGGTTATCACTGTTTTTTTCTCTGTCAAGATCCTTTACATCACTGACATAAAGTATAAAATTGCAGATCATATGTTTAGACATATGTTGCAATATTGTCCTCCATTTTAGCTGCCATGTCCCCCTCCAAACCTGTACCATTAGTTCACAATGGACAGGAGTGTGCAAGGTGGAATAGGTAACATAAAACATGAGTATATTCATGTAATATTGTTTAGTTATTATTTATTCCAGTGAATAGTTTAAAATAGCCTGCTTGCTGCTTTTTAATCAAATTTTGTGTGATTTTTGTGTATATGTTTCTTTTGGTTTATTTTGTTTTTACTAATAGCATAATAGCAGCATGAAGAGCAATATAATCTAAATTTCATTATACAACCCTTTGATGTAAAATGACAATTATATTACCATGCATCCTTGTACTTTTAATAAACTTCCTCCTATTCAATATTGTCAGTACACTTGCAGGTGTAGGTTTTTTATAGCAGGAAGAAGGAATGATAAATGGTAAATCTTTGAAAGAATAGTTTTCACCAACCCTGATGATGCTGCTGTACTACAGTATATACTACACTGTATATGGACAGTAGAGAGTTGAAGGATAGGGCAGCTCAGTATGACCTTGAGAAAGGAAGAAAACTAGGCTACCCACGTATCATACAAAAACTGAAAAAGACTCTTTTCCACCATTGCACCCTATCTGAATTATTACCTCTGCCAGATGTGTTCTTTAAACGTTGAGGTGGTCAGAAAACCCATAATACTCCAGAACAGGATTGTAATATTTTCAGAATTTCATTCACTCTCGAATTTGTAGCTACTTCTTTGTGGTTGATACACATAATATTTTGTCAGAATTACTGTATTTGTAAAACATAATATAGAGGTAGGAATTGGACCATACATATTACATACATAACATTCTGACATATGTTTCAAAGGAGCAGTGCAAGATATACCATATAGAGATAAACATATAGTGAATGTTTTCACTATAAACATTGAAGCAGAATGGCATACAGTATGCTTGCAGCTGTGAAGGGAGTACAGCAGAGTACTTAACTAGCGTGCTTTGTAATTTTACTGAATTTAATGGGTATGTTTATCTACTGTCTGGCTCCGACATTAGGATATGATCAATTTCCCTGACTTGTTGTCAGATGCTGATGTTTCATGGGCCGGTTTTAACTTAACCAGAGCAGCTGTCTCCAAATTTACATTTCAAATTGTTTTTTAGGCTCACTGTTGGATGTGAGAGTTGAAACAATATTCATCTGTGGTCGCACTTTACTGGAACGTGAAGGCATGATTAAGCCATTAGGGCCACATCTGCCAGCCTAATTCCTTTTTAATTTTCAGAGAACTCTGCTGTATATTGCTACAGTGGATGTGACATTTTGATTAAGCAAGGGCTGTAAAAATGATTATCACGAGGTTGCAAAGGGCTACTGCTCACATCACTGTGGAGAATAGTAAGCAGAGGTCCACACTGGCCACCCCAGCCAAACCAGCACACTCCAGAACTCACACTGACCTCCTTACTATCGTTACAGCAATCTGTGACACACATTGAACACAGAGGAAGGGAGAGCCAGCCCACATTTATTTGCATTCAGACCAGTAAAACCAGTGTTGTTTTATAGAAAACACTTGGACTTTACAGCTGAGCTTATTACATCAGTGTATTTAAATCTATTTTAAAGATTTTTTTCCATGGTAAATCCCTTTTGA